TGATCTACTCAGGTCCCTTCTGACCCTAGAAACTATGAATGTCTATGAAATCTATGAAACTTTCACATCATTCACAATTTAAAACACAGATACATAAATTGCATTGCTCATGATGATGGAAGCTATCATAGACTGTTCCAAATACAAAAGCTTTCAGTCTCTTGAGTACAGAGATGCATGATTAGGTACTATTCCAAATCATTTGCTTTAAAAACAGTTACAAACAGCAAGTTCATTCAGCTGAGCAGTGACTGTTTCCATTTCTATGGTAGTAAAATGAAATACTACCAACGAAGTTTATTAAAGATGGAAATACTTCCTAGTCCAAGTAGTGATCATCTACAAATTAATGAATTCATGGGCATTTATACACGTACTGGGGGTGGGGGGAGAAGCAGGGAAGTCACATGTATCAGCATCCCTGCACTGAAAAATGGTGGCAGAGATGCTTAACTAAAGTTTGAACAAGCAACTTTCCAGCAGACTCAATTAATCAAGTCTGCTCTGATACGCTATAATCACAGTGCGTCAGAGCAGCCTCACTGCATGTCTATAGGCACCCAAACTGTCCCAGTTATGGCTGCTGAGGTTAAATCAGTGTCAAGTACTATTCCATGTTTTTCCTACCTGATCACCATCTCAGTATTCTTTATCTTCTGGCAGTGCATCAACAGTTTCTGTAAGAGTTTGTGTGCCTCCGACATCTGGTTTTGGGCTTTCAATACAATGGCCTTTCTGCAATTCAAGGCAAACAAAAACTTACCAGATTTCTATATTTTGGTCTCAGTCCTGCCTCTGAGTGCACTATAATGCACGGTGGTATGTTAGATCTCTCCTCCCACACTTGCACATGCTTGGGTAGAGTTGTTTTGTAACTACACTCTGGAGCGGGCAAAGATGTTTTGTATAAACAGGACTTAGTCCTTATAAGCACGTGTTCCAGAAAACTCAACACATATTTTAAGCACCCTAAATGGAAGGAAAATAGGGGCCTCCTCCATTTTAGACAGGAAAACCAAAGCTGAGGCAAAGCAAACTTGCACACAGTCACTGCAGGCAGAAATAGGCTTTTGGTCTCCTGTTGATTTCATACAAATCCAGAATTACACTTTGATTTTAAATGGATACATTGATACATTCTGAAAGCAGAAGACCTACAATGTATACATTCATGTTTAGGTAATGCTACACCAAGCTAGCCAGGGCTTCAAAGCCCTAGTGGAATGGATAGAATGGTATGTATCAAAATACATTATATATTAGTATACTTACAGCAGAACTAGGCAAAAAGCATTATATAACAACAAGTAGAAAGTGATGTGTACGTAAAATTTTATTTTCAGCAAGCATTATATTCCATTGCTAACCATTTTAGTGGGATATTACTGAACACAATTCTGAAGGTATGTGGTTTCTTACCTGTACACTCCTTCAATGCTATTAAGTGCTGTAATTCCTGCCACAAGAGAATCAGCAATATGGTATCTGCCATCATTCATGGCTCTATCAAATTGTATTTTCTGATCAAACAGCATCCACAGCTAAACAGAGAAGGTCCAGGTATAAATAGTGGCATATGTGCATTTTGTGATCCAAAAATGAAACACATATGCTACTTTGAAACACAGCTGAATACCCTTTTATTTACTGGAGAAGCAGTACAAATAAGTCTTCATTTGTTGTTTTGAAGAAATATAACTCCTTTTACAGTGCAGAAACTAGAATGTGTTTCAAAATCTAAAACCCCTTATGTATTATGAGTTAAAAAATGTTGCAGAGTCTGCATAGGAATAGAGGGCATGGAAAAATGATAAACACTGCTTTTCAATCCAAGATGTTGATGAAAATCCCTCCCCACTCAAATGGTGACATACTACACTTTCATGGTTTTCAGATCTATGCGTGAATTTGTGGCTCCCCCATTAGTGAGACGATTTATGTGGAGACTATTCAAATGTGCTCTAAACACAGTTTATACAGATGAAGTACAGAAGGAATTAGGATGAAGGGGAATTCTGATTCTTCTGCCACAGACACAAACTTGGTGCACAACTTTTTTATTATTATTTTTTAAGCAGTATAGGCCACAGGTTACCTGTGAATGCTGACTATTGGGAGGAAATCTTTCCTTCAAGTGTTTCAATATTTCAGAAGCAGCTGCAAAGTAGCCCTACAACAGAGAAACAGCACTGTGGTAAGCATGCAAGCACTCCTTACGATGAAATTAACATTCCTAGAAACAAGAAGTTGCTAAGAGAAAAATGCTAAGATTTCCTTCCACCTCATCCATGTAGGCTGGAGATAAGAAAAATAACTCTAAATGCACACACCTTGCCACATGTCACTCAGCTTGCCACAGGCCTGCAAAGCATCCCCACTTGCCCCTGCAAACTTTTTTTTTTTGTGCAATTAACTATGAAGCTCACCTGCTCTGCATGTAGCTCAGCCAGGTGACACAACACTACAGCAAAGGATTCCGTATTATTCTGCTGGACACCCACATTTACAGATTCCAAACTGTTCATGCTCAGCAGCGTCTGGGCTTGTTGAAGAGCCATGGTGCTAGAGAGAAAGGAAAACTGTAATTTACTTTCATGCAGTAGTTCTAATCTATGCTCAAGCCATAAAACAAAAGCCAAACTATTTCCCCTTCTTCCCCCCACCCCCCCGGAATTCCAAACTATGCAAGGACCAAAGGTGCTCATGAAAAGACCATAAATCCAAATAAAAGCATTCACATACAGAAGCTTTTTGTCTGGCTAAGGCTGAATAAACAAGGAAATTAAAATTACAGCTATAAGAGGGTGATGAAATATATCTTCTAACATAGGAGTTAAATGAGCAGGACCTGGAAGAACCAGCCCCAGCATCTGTTGATGCCTCACTTAGCACACTGAAGAGAAGCAGTCACTTGCACTGTTGTCAAGAAGTCAACAAGAGCATCACTTGCTTACAACGTTAACACACTACTATAAGCAGCAGAACTAGACTTTGGGGAGCAAAAATACCTGCGACCATATAATCTCCAAATGGCAGTTTTCTGTGCTATACTAATGTCAATAAGCTCCGACAGGCTGTGTTTCCAATGCAACAGATCAGAGTCCTTTAAGGCATCCATTAGCTTGTTGGAGGTCTTCCCTGCAAAAGCTCTTTGCTGGACCAAGGATTGTATTCCCAGGGAAGCTAGGTACTAGGAGGGATGGAAAAACAAAATTAGGATGGTAAAGCTGCCCAGCAACAAAGTCTAACAAAGCAGAAAGAATAAGTTATCAAAACTTCCACCTTTCTCCATATGTAACAATATGAATGTCACCTTGTTAAGGGATGAAAAGGATACTCTAGGCTTCCATTCCATAGTGGAACAGGTGGCGGGAGGGAAGAGGTTCAAGTTGGATCCTTCCAATGATTATGCTCTGCTTCTAGAGCTTTCCCTCTTTCTCCTCACTCCCCCAAATACTGATCAGACCTCCTGCACTCTGCATACCAGCTATATGATTAGCTGCCTCTCACTTGTCCCATCTGCTTCCTGCCTCATCCGCATTTTTCTTCTTCAGCCCCAGCAATCTGAAGTCACAGACTGGATCCTCAGATCTTGCATGGCAGCCTGCTCACTACACAATTTTATGTTCATTTTCTGCCTCCCACGCCAGGTCATGAATGTTTAAAGGAAGAGAAAAAGCCAGATTTTGAAACAAAACAGGAGACTTACAGGCAATCCAAAGTGAACAGCTTTTTTCACAGAGTGTTCTAACAGAACACAGCTATCTGAACTCTGCTGCTCCAAGATGTATAGCCAACTCTGTTTAGAAAAGAAGTTAAATGTCATCGCAGAGATATGTTGCTTAGTATAATACAAAACATTTTCACGCATCTATTAACAAGTGTGGACAAATCTCATTGCAATACAAACTTCTAGAAGTCACATAAAATGGAACCTGCATTAAGAATTGACACAGTAGAAAAGATCAGTGATCTATTTAACCTGGAGTTCTGGCTGCAACAGTGGCCAACACTGGAGATTTCACAGTAAAAACATAGAAACTATTATACTGTTACACATCTGAGACACTTGCACTATTAACCTAACTGGAGTTTATTCACTGCTGCAAACTATGAGAAGCTTTTACTTCTACCTCAAAACAACACTCTCCTTAGAAAAGTTAAATTTCAGAATCCACAAAACAGTACAATAAAAGCTTAGTCGAGTTAGACAGTGACTTTCTAGAGAAAGAAGCACTTAATTCTTTCCCTTGTCATTGGCCGGATGGGAGATTTACACATAATCCCTGCACAGAGGGGTGCTTGAAAATAAGCTTCTATGACTTATCTTGAACAGACCTCTTAAAAGTGTGAAAATAAATTTCCCAGCATTGCATGATTTGGGGTGCACGATGCCCATTCAGAAAGTTCTAGTTAGTACCTTGAAGTTCACTGCTTCAAGGATAGCTTACTCAGATTTACTGCTTACGGCACTAACAACCAAAGCATCACCCCAAGGTGAGGAAGTGACATTTAACTACTGCCAAATGCTAGACCCAGCTATAGCAAATACATCAAAAGTCTAATTGAGCTGAGAGACAGATGGCTACGACAGGCCATTTATCTCCCTTTAAAGCATGGCTGTCTTACCAAACAATGCTGCAAGCAAACATGATCATTGGACTCCTGTGCAATTCTGATGGCTTCCTGAAGGGCAAGCTCAGCCTGTTGACTATCAGCAAATCAAAACACAGAAAGCATTAATATTTCATTAACACCTATAAACACAGCACTATAAAGAGAATAATGCTGATCTAAATTATGCGTATCTTATTTCAAAGTGAGCTCTGATTAAACAGGTCAGACGAGACAGCATTTCCTTACATCCACTTCTGCGTTACCTTTAAGACAAGGTTCTCTCACCAAGAATGAAATCTACAAGTTTTTGCCCCTTACCAGGACTCCCATCACACATACATGTTCAAAAGGCACTTCAGGTACTATTTTGATAGATACAATGCATGCCCAGGTATAGAGGGTTTCTACTTCCAATCTACCTCACCCAGCTCTCTCCATCACTATCTTTGCACACTGGTAGCCCAGAGGCTTTCCCCCCCCCCTATTTATTATTAAAGCATTGTTTTAAAATCCTAATGACTTCACAAATCACACAATCAGTGCTGGTTTGAGTGTAACAGGAGGGCAGCTGCACTTACATCTCAACTGATACATAAGCACTTATGTGCTGACCTGCATCTGATAAGTGAAGTAAAAGATCTACCACCCTGGGAAACAACTGCAATAGTTTCCCAGGGTAGTAGATCTGTAACTAGACATAAAAAGAACTAGAAATAAAAAGAAAGATGCTAAGGCTTTTTATGTCAACTGTAATAGACATCAGAAGAACCTCTAGCCTTAGCATCATTCTAATTTTTTAGTGATACCACAAGGAAATCAGAATCAGCCCAAGATTCTAAGAAAGTTCCCAAACTAGTCCCCCTTCATTTGCCCCTGAACTACAGAACTCCTCCCCCACCCCAAATGACTTTCAGAACATAAGAAAAGGTCCATCTTGCAGATGTAGCAACATGTTTTTTATTTATTTATTTTTAATCGATCAGAAAGATGAATTAACTTACTAGTGGCCAAACCGACAATGCAGTGCAGCTAGATTAAGAGCAGCATATCTCAAACTTCGGCCATAGCCTTCATCGCCATTGCTTTTGCTTTCTGCTCCAGTGAGAATCAAACGGTCAAAATAATGAAGGAGGCTGTGTGTTGAACTGAAGACATCTTGAACTCTTAGACTATTTAAGTAGCTTAAATAATGCTAAAATTTAAAGCAAAGTCAGCTTTAATTAAAAACAGAACTAACGACATGCTCTTCAAAATCATTTTTTTCATGCTATCTCACTCAGAAAACGCTTGTGAGCTGGAGGGGAAGGTTATTTTGCAAACAGGAGCACATTTGACCAGGAACCGTGCAAAAGAGGCAGCACGGACCTAGAATGAGCATTACTTTGGCAACTACATTTTGTTTTTACTGTCCAGAATACATGTATGCAATTCATTTCTGGGTCTCGCAATCAATCAATGCCCAGTATACATTCCACCAGTACCAATGTCTCAGTCTTTCTACTAAAAATGTAGGGACAAAGCTCTTTAAATTACTCAGGACAGCTTAGTATCAGAAGGACAAGTCTCAGTTCAGTTCGGCAGAGAGCATAAGCACATGCTTACATGTATACACTTGTACAGTCTTAAAGAATCCAACAGGACTACTCTTGTCTGAAGTTAAATGTCTACTGTACCACCCTGCTGAATTTGACAGTGTCTTCAGGATTTCTATTCTGAAACATCATATTAACATACAAACTATTAGATAAAATTTAAACACTTTATACTGATGTGCAAAAGTCCCCAGAAATAAATTTTATTTTAGAAATACAAAAGAATTGCCCTACATGCATTTTGGTTGAAGGGAAGATACACTTACTGCTTCAGCAAAGTCTGGATTGAATTTTAACAAATTATTGAGCTCTTTTTGCAATGCTGCTGGAGTAAGAGCCTTTGTCTCATCGTTCTTTAATAACGAAGCCTGGAATAAAAATAGAAATTGTCACTAGGTAACTAGGATTGGGGAAGTGCAAATATCAAGATTACATTGTTAGCCATTTCTCATCTTTCTAACTACATAACCAACCAAAGAAGGTGTCATAAATTACACCTACAGTCATGTTTAAATATTGCCAAAGGCAATTCTACTCTAAATCATATTAAATCATTCACCTTTAAAATGACCATAGTCACTTGGACAGCACTGTGGGAGGGATCAGGGAGTAGATTAAGAATAATTCAGCTAGTGTCTCTGGTAACTTAATGTATTGAACCTCTTACTTAATATGCCACATGGTTCTGATTATGTGTAACACTGAATAAAAGTAAATCCCACATTTTCAGGTTAAACAGCTTTCCAAGCCCCAAATCAAATCAACAACTATAGAAACTCCTTGAACTGATATTCCTTTAAATCAGTAACTCCTGTCATCTGGCTCCACAGGCTGGATGAGTGGTACAGAGTCAGTGTGCGGGCTGGATTGGGCCCACAGACTCCATCCCTCACCCCACATAGTGGATCCAGAGCCTGTGGTGCGTTCTCTGGGCTCCATGTTGCATATGGTGCCTGTTCTGACCATTCTGGGATACATGCCATATGTGCTGCATGCTCCAGCCAGTCTGGAATTGTACTGCACACTGTGCACATTACAGCTAGTCCAAGATGCTCACTGGGCAGACCCCAGACTGGCTGTGGGAAGAACCACACATTGCACAAGCCCTGCTGCAGGACCAGCCTGGCACATGCTGCATGGGTCAGCTGTGAGACCCAAGACCAGCACCTAGGGACAGATAAGGTGGCTTCTCGGGCCAGAACTTTGACACCCCTGTATTAAATAATCTCACAAGAATCAAATAACCAAGGAAAGAATTCAGAGAATTAAATGCACTAAAAATTATGCTATTAAGAACCACACTGAAAAGATTTGTTTTCATTTGGTATTTTTATTGCATGCATAAAAAATACTGCAATCACCCCCCCCACCCCCCACTGTTGCAGGTCCATGTACAGATCAACTCTATGAACAAAAATCAAGTATACTTTTTATGTTCTTTGGAAGTGGGGGGGGGAAATGAAGGGGTGGACACACACTTTGGTATATTCATCTGTTCATAAAAAGATTCAGACTAAAAATTTGGGGGGGCACTATAAAAAATAAATAAAATCAAACAAAAATCCAGGAAACTCAAGATAAAGATTCCAGTTAATCTGGTAAAGGTAACTGAACAAAAATAAGACTCCAAGTTTCAGTTAAATCAGTGACTACTGTGTCTAAGATAGGGAAAAATGACAGTTTATATACATAAGATATAAATACTGTGCGGTAATTTAAACAAGACAAAAATCTAGAATGAAGACAAAATGCAATTCTGTTGTAGTGTAAATCAAATTTGCAACAAAGCGAAGCAATGTAAAAAACAGCAGTCCAGCAAGACCTGGCTGATGTAGACAAAGAGTCCAATAATATCTAACAATTCTTTTTATTTCTTTAAATGTATGTTAAGTTCTTTATGCTTTTTTTAGTAATAGCAAATTGGTACAAGCTGGTAATTGTTTGCTAAAGTCACAAGACTTCATATAATTTAGACTTTTAGTTTCAGCCAATATTTATTCTTTTCTGCAGGTAGATGTTCTGCAAATGTTTTACTGAGCATAAATTTTGAATTTTTGAGTATAAACAGTAACACTAGAAACTAAACTGAGCAGCACTCAACATCAAGGAACTCAGTCATGCCATGTGCTTTGCATGGCCACTTAGTTTCACTTTTAGGTTCTCACAGTGAGCAGCTAACAAATACAATTCAATAGAGTCCTAATAAGTATGAGGAAAACATGTTTGCTGATCATTCATGAACACACAGACAACTCTTAACTTAATTATTTGCTCAGCAGTATCCAAGATTAACATACCTGCTGTGAAAGAAAATATTCTGCTTGCTTCTGAGAAAGAGGACCACCACAAGATATCTCTTCTTCCCTATTAAACAGACAAAAACATTGGAAAGTGACAATTAAAATAGCTTATTCTGAAGCTATAAAAAAAGCTGTGCCAGTTACAGATTAAAAAGAAAAAGACACACTTCAAAAAGGCTCCACAATCATTATACAATATTAAGCATAAAAAGAAGCCTGGAGTGCAGGGTAGGATAGAGAAGGGACAGTTAGATCTGGCTCACAGGAGACCGAAAAAAGCAATCAGAAGGAACAAACAGTATCATAGTTTTTAACAGACAGTGAAATGGAATACATGTCTGAAAGAAGCCAGGTGTGTTATTCTGATGGAGAGTTAGTTTTAACACCAGAGTTGGTTTTAATTTTCTGCCTACGGGGGCTGAGAGCAACACGATTATTACATTTATTGCTGAGAGCAACATGATTATTATGTTTATTGTGAAGAACACAGTAAAAACCCTAAGAACAAGGGCAAATAAAAGCTGCAGCGAGTCAAAAAGGGGAATGCATGAAAAAACAGAACTAAGTTGTTCCAATGTAGTATTCACTGACCAAAGGTTAAGAGCAGGTAGATGTCAGTTTACATGCACCAGCTGCTCCCTGACAAGTCTCCATCCCTTTTTAATTTGCTGCTCTTAGACTGTTTGTCTAAGAGAGGAACAAGACAGGTTTGGGATGAAAGGTAAAGGCTGCTTTGTGCTATTGATCCTCTCTGAGAAAATAGGCATACAGTGTCATACTGACACTCTAGAAAGCAAAATTAATTCCCCCCAAAAAACTGCTCTCCAAAAGCTGAGAAGTAGCTGTCTACCAAAAACAAAACTCCTACCACCATTAGCTAGATTCCTAGCCTTCAGGAAGGCTGGAAGAATGCAGGCTCATTGGAGAGCTTGACAGTTGCAAATATAATTTAAATGTGTATATGAAAAAAAATTATACTTAAGGGCTATTTTAACATAAGATAGCATTTTTAATTCATTAAAATCCTCATCGTTGCACGTGGGTCTTTTTTTTTTTCCTTTTTTAAAGAAAAATCAAAGAATTTATTATATCAAAGTGAGGGAAAGTGCTAGAGCCAACAATCAATGACGTGCAAACAGAATTACTGTAGATTTAAGAGTTGCAGTTCACAAGCGTTACCACTTGGTGCCAACAAGATATTAGACTGACCACTTCTCAGCACTATCTGGGAACAGTCTGAAAAATGGACCATGACATTAGAGACAAAGATTTTTTTGTGATGTCTTTTTCTGGACTGACCATATAATTGAGGAAGAAGTTAGGCAGTTTTTTGGGCACAAACTTCCCTTCCTCTGGTAATCTAGGTTATTGCGATGACCTGCAATATTTTGGTCTTTAAAAAGAATTGACAGATACTATGTAGTTTTAGATTTCAACATGAAAATACTGGTTACTTCATGAATCTACAACTCAAGCAACAATTCTGAAAATGATTTCTAGTTCCAGTGAAGATACAGCTTAAACATTAAACACTGACCTAATGTAGCTCTGAGACTGGGGCTACTGATGTCTTTGTTTAATTCAGAGGAGTAGCATTACAGCAAATACAGACCACAGTAAGCAACAGCCCATCCTGAATTAAGCAACTTGGCTAGTTGTCCAGCAGGGTTTGAAAGACTTTATAACATTTTCTATAATCACCTTAGAGGTACATCAAGTTCTTCTTTTTCCATTTTCCCTTCCAGTTCTTCAGTATTTGTGAGCTCCATATCAGTCTCATCAATTCCAGTTTTTTTCTCATCATTCTGAAAATACTGCTGAAGTGCAGTATAAAGTTTATAGACCTGACTGAATGAAAGCTTGTTGTATGCCAAGATCATGTGGCGCAGAAACAGACCTATAAAAGGAAAATGTCTGTTATGATATCTAACTGCAGTACCAAGGAATTTTAAATCAGGGAGTGGAAGTAATATTTTCTTGTTGGTTCTGCCATTAAGTAGGAGCATAAATTTGTATTTTGCTTTATTTCAGTGTCCCAGTCTAACAAATAGGTATTTACTGCCTCATTACTTTAGGTTCACTGAAAACCTGTTTCTCTAAGGCCCAATCCAACAGATAAATCTGATCATGGAACTCCTACTAATACCAGCAACAGTCACAAATGGTGCTATAAAATTATTTGTTAGCTTGAAACATGTGATTATATTATCTTCATATGGCTTTATTAAAAATTGGCCAAAACAAGGAATTGTAATTGTTTTTCAAATATAAAAATTAAGATACACACATTTTCCTTTTCAAACAGATTCTTTGAACAAAAACCAACCATATAATGACATACCCACGACACTTGTTTTGTGAACTTCTGGTTCGGTCCCAGTAAATGAATCTGACAGATCGTCAAAAAATTGTTCCATATCTTTCAATTCTCCTTCTGCCATTAGTTTTATCCTAAAGAGAAGACAGGGTTTTTAAAAAGTTGCTTTCCCATACTGTGCATGTACATGTGTATGCACACAAAGCACTCTACCTTAACTCAGATGTAGAAAGAATAAGACCCAAACATAAGTTATAACTAAATGGTTACTAGTTCACTTATACAATTTCTAGCTGTTCAAAAATGTTTCTGTTTTTTAGATAACTGATTAATTTCACAAATCATTCATATGCTATTGCTTTTTCATCTGGAAAGATCTGTATGCTGAGCCACGTTGCAACACGCTGAACATAGTTTGAGTAATAATTTCTGTACAGGAGAAATGTGATAAACTCTATATTGGTTCTCCATATTTTCTCTATTCTCTAAGAAAACTTGTCCTTAAAGCAGTGATTTCCAAACTTCCTAAAGTCACAGAACCCTTTCCTATCACTTCTTCTGCCCTGGAACCCCTACCCCTGGCTCCATGGGCCACGTGAACTGACACGGAGCCAGGTGACCCAGCCCGACAATGGTGGCACACTGTCTGCCCCAGCCCATTCTGCCATTACCCCCAATCTCTTTGTGGAACCCTACTGAAAATACAGGGTAGATATGCATCTTTACAGGTGAACTGAATAAGATATAGAGAAAGCACAAGGTTTTATGAATATGAAACCAAGTTCACTTCATCTCCTGTAGAACCCCAGGGTTCCATGGAACAGTTTGACAAGTGCTGCTACAGGAAAAAAAACAACACTTCAATGTATTGACCATGCTCATGAGTTACAGACCTCTAATGAGAAACTTGCATACTAAAAAAATAAAAATGGAAAACCTCTATATGATTTTAATAGTTCTCCAGAGCCTGATTCATGGAGCTAAAGAAGTTTTAAAAAAGGAAGCTTCTGCTTCAAATTCCCTGTCTAAGTGCCGTGCACGGAACAAAGTGACTTGTTGGGACATAGGCCAGGCCAGCAGCAACATATTTTATTTAGGTGCAGATTGGCCTCGCATGCATAGAAGGAGCGCTGCAGTTCTCAACCTCTTTAGACTTGAGGCAGCTCATAAAAAATGCCATCTCTTAGTTTCCCTCATTTTTTTGACTACAGAAAAACAATACAGCAATGCTCCTGTTGCAAAGACCTGGACCACAACAAAGCAGGACGTTTTGGACACTATGGATTCCTCGGTGAAAAGCCAGGGTTTATCTTGTATACCACAGGTGCACGCCTAACAGTGCCAACAGGGCTGCAGCACCCTGCACGAGAGTCACTGGGTCATGGCAAGGCTTTGGACAGTTTCTCATGGGCAGGCTACGATTTAGCTGCTATAAAAGCAAGCACAGCATCCGGGTTAATCTCTCAGATTGAGGGAGCATGGACAGGACAGGACAGGACAGGCTACCTGATGTGCACAGAGCTGGCCAGGTTGGGGCATGACTCTTCGATAGCTTTGCGCAGCCGGGACAGCGACATGTCAGGACCCTGCAGGAGCCAAAGGAGGGGAATGGAGGAGCTCAGGCAGCAGCTCATGCTGCAACCCCCCTGCTCCCCAGGGGGTGCTCACGCTGAGAGCCCCCTGCTTCTCTCAGGCAGCTGGGAGCTGAGGGGACAATAGAAGTCCCTCCCCTCAGGCAATGCTGGGACGCCCTCGGCTCCCCTCAGGCACCACTGGAGGCCCCCCCATTCTCACAGACCCCCCCCCCCCGGGGG